TTAATTTTTTTTTGTTTTTTTTTTTTTTTTTTTTTTTTTTTTTTTATTTAATTTTTTATAATTAAATTTATTTTAAAAAAAAATTTTTTATTTTTTTTTTTTTTTTTTTTTTGTCTGGTGGTTAGAAATAAATTTTATTGGTATGTCGATATGTCAACAGTGGTGCATCGTCATCCATAGTAATTTCTTTTAGCCAGAGGATTAAAATGCAGTACGTACAGTAAAATATTAAAAGTTTAAATATTTTAACAAAAGAAAAAAGATCAATATATTCTATATCATATCATATCATGATCCTCAAATAACTTTGTACATAATCTGATAAATGTTTCATTTTTCTATATTCTGCAAATCGATTAATAATCCGACTATGTAAGAATTTTTGAAGGTTTCGCTCTACCTACACACACACACACACACACATTCTTATCATTCTATTTTTAAAGATTAATAGAGAAAGACTTTCACATATATAATAATAAAATTCAAAGAAAATATGTATACATGAGTGTATCAAATTTAACTATAGCTTTGTTAGATTGAATTACTTTTTTCTGATAAGAAACCAAAAAAATTGATATGTATTGTTGTTCTTTAGCTCTAATATCTGAAATTGGGCAATAACTTTTGTTAACTGTACCTATTTTTGGTTAATGAGGAGAAAACAAAATGTTTTCAGTTTTTTTTTTTTTTATTTGCAACTGATCAAGGCTATTTAAGATAAATATAGAATATCAGTATTTATTGTTATTGTTGTTTCTTATTAGTAGTTTGTTATAATATTCGTCTAAACCTACCGCCAAATGTATTTGTTATATTTACTTTTTTTGTCAAAATTGCTGAATATTAAGTTCCGAAAGAATTTTGAGACATATTACTCTGCGTTAGCCTTAAGCATATTTATCGTTTAATTGTGTATATACTCTAGTAGATTAAATTATCGTTATTTTTTTCACTCTTACCTATTCTTTTCTTTTTTCTCGATTATATTGGTCAAACTGTAATAGTTGAAAATTCTTTTTTTCATGTAACACAAACTTAATTTGATTATGAAATATGATCAATTTACAACGCCATAATTGTTTCTTGTGACATAAAAAAAAAACATCTTACTAATTCATCAACATAATATTTAGTATTGTTAAAATGTGTACTAATTAACGGAATAATAATCTTGAAGAACTTTACTAACAAAAGATTTATTTATCCAAAAAATTGTTCTATAAAATGTTAAAATGTTTGATCAGAATAATACTGAATAGAAAACGTTTTCTTCCTCTTCTTATTATGCGTTTAATATTATGTATGTTGATTATCGCAGGGCAGTTTTGATTTTATTGAAAAAAAAAAAAAATGATATCCTTCTCCTCTCTTCTTCTATTGACATAATCAATAAGTGTAATATTTCAAGTTGGATGAAATATTTTACTTGAATATTTTTTCCTTTTAGGCAAATGATATATACTGCGCAAGGATATCAAATTATTCTTCATATTGAACTTAACTGGGAGGTTTTCTACTAAAGTACAAATAAACAAAGTTTTATTCATAATAACAGTGTTGTGACATTAAACTAACTTTGAAGTACTCTATATGATTATTGGAGTGACGTAACGATAAATCGGATTTTTTGCCGTATTTGATGCTGAATCGGAAACTAAAACGAACACCAAATAGAAGGACGAGATATGAATCAATTACTGTACAAGATTATAATTACTTTAAGAAATACTAAAAACTGAAAAGAACGACATTTCGTCGGACATATGGAAATCATTATTCATATTTCGAGTTTTTCTACTAAGACTGTCTCTTCTCCTTTCTCAGATCTGCACATTCGCATGGAAAAGAAAGACGTTTTGCTATTTACCGAGAAAAGGAAAAGTCTTTATCACCAAGTCGTTTCTTTTCTTTATCCAAAATGATGAATGAAAGAAAAAGAAGATAAAGCGCTATACGCTAAAGCTTTAATACAAGCGGGGAAAAGATGCAAAAAGAAGCTGAATAATATAAGAAAAATAGTTTTTGACACATAGTAAATGCACAACAGAGCCCGAAACGAATCAGAAAATCCTGAATCGGTTCGATTCGGGCAAGTTCAATGAAAATCAAAGCTTTCTTCTCTTTTGTTTTCAAACATTTGTTTAAAATATACTGCCTCGAGTTAGAAATACTTGAGTATAGGGGTGCACCAAACCCAAAACCATTAATTAATAAGACTTTCGTTGGGTTTGGTGGCAAACTCAAAGTGCTTGAGGCTACAAGTCTCAAATCCTAAATCTTTCACCAAACACAAATATTTGGGTGTGGTGCATGAGCAGAACATATCACTTATGGGAATAGAATTTTGAAACATGAAATAAAACAAAACCAACAAGGAGAAGAATATAAATAAGAAAGGCCTTGTTCGCATGATTAGTCTTTCTATTTATTATTTTCGATCGAACATAAAAATAATATGTCGTGGACACTCGATGGATCTAAGCTTGAGTGACGTTGATTAACACTTTGACCAGCAGCGCTGAAAGTCTTGTTCAATCGCAGCTGAGCTACAAGGAATTGAAAAGATCTCAACATTAATGATCAAAAAATAAGAGAATATCGGTTATGTGTGACATTCGTTCGGGTGCTTTCAAAGATTCTATCTTTGAAAATGAATTTGATTAGATATCTTAATAACTCGATAAAAGATATTATATGTTCCTCTTTCTAACGGGATTATATGTTCCTGAAGGTTATAACAGAAAAAAAGGACAAAATTTTTATTACATGATGGTTTTGTTACTTTATACAATATTATTCTAGGTTAGTCTGGTTGATTCGTGTTTCAAAAATTAAATTCGGTTCGATTCGATTCGGGCTCTGATGCATAACAATTTAATCGTTTAAGACGCAACATCCACTGGGATAAACATTAGTGGATATCATAGAATCGCTTTAGCAAGATTATAATGCGTCGGATCATAAAACGGACTTTTTTTTCAATGTAAGCTGATACTATAAGCTAACGATTGCTAATAACAAAAAATTTTTTCATTACCTGTAAATAAAAGTATACGAGTTTCAAGTTCGCTTTACACAATCAACTGTAAATGGTTAAAATAGAATGAGAGTTGATAGTTACAAAAACTGTCACTTGTTTAGGGTTGGTAAAGTTAAGCAAAATCTTTACTCTGTGTTTTGATGTTATACTGATATTATGATATTTCCATCTATTTTTAATGAGAAAAAAATTCACTTTGTGAAAGAAACGCTTGATCAGACTAAAAATCGACAGAGGACCTCAATATTGTGAGATGCTCTAATCATTAGGTTACTCAGATCGTTTATTATCCTTTACACATATTTATTGTTTTCTAAATGATAAAGACTCAAACTCGAACGGAAAATTATTCATTATCAGATAAAGATAAACTCTCTTTTTTTTATCCAACCACTAAGAGATATCGAGATAAATAATCCGTCTGTTTTTTTGCTCTGAACAATGATAACCCAGCGTTTATTTTTATTTATTTTTCTCATAGATTTATATAAAAATAGAAAAGAACAAGAAAAGAATAACAAATAAAAAGATGAATATTTTTGAATAGTCTGTAATTTGACAGAAATTCACTTTGTCCGTTGTACATTTTTGAAATAAACGATAGATTATTGTACTGAAGTTATAATATGCTTCAATGAATAATTTATGTATAATGACTAAATGAATGATCACTATTATAATTACGATAACATACCTAATCGGTTAAACGTGATCAAAAAAATGTAGTAGAATATTCAGTAACACTAGTCAATTAAAAGACGACCTGTAGCTTTATCAAATATCATAAAAATAAAAGGAAAAAACATTTTATGTTAAAAGATGACCAAAAAAAAAATATATTCTTTAATAATAATAATACGTCGCTGGTTTTTGTTGGATAAAACAGAAACAATCCTGCCTGAACGACTGAAGGACAACTTAGATTATTCTATGTGTTTTGTGTTGAATCTAGACATTAAGTACTCATGGTGGACTAAACAGACAAGAATATTTCTGACTAATTTGTACGAGATAAATTTATCAAGATATCAATAATGTGGACAAATCAATCTATCAAACAATAATATGTAGATATTAACAACAACCAAGATCTGAAAGTTACTCATCAAGAAAGTCATTTTTTAATCACAATTAATTGATTAACCGAGCATTTAAGTTTATTATTTTTTAATCACGATAAACTCATTAATTATGATTAGAGTTGTGATTAGACAGTTAGCTACCCCTAATTAATTTTAATTATAATTTATAAGGTAGTGTATACTTTCATATCATAATGAACATCAATATATAATATCTATTTGTATGTGTGTAACTTCTAATTCATTTTCATTTCAATTAAATATAACCGGTATTAATTTACACCAAAAATTATTTAATTTCAAGATCAAGAATAAACTTCATAGACGATCGATATGAGAAATATTATTGCTGTTATTATAAGACTAAAATGTGATATGTGCAAAATATTTGAGTTCGATGATAATAGTGTCAAATCTGTATTTAATATATAATGACCATAGTTTGCAGTATCTAAAGAATAAAAGTAAATAGAACATCTGTGTGTTATAGATAGATTAAGAAAATCATCAACTTACTTATTGAATTATTTAGAGATTGATATCCATCAAAAATAATTGATTGTTGTGAAATAATATATTTATGATTTTTAATTGAACTTAATGTTATATTATAGAGAGTATTTGGACGTAAAGATGGATAATAATATTTGGATGTTTTCTAGAATTAGAATGTAATAATAAACAATAATATTCATATATGGTAACAGCCCATGCATACTCACTGGAGATAAGTCAACGACTAATATTTCTTTATGATTATCCAATTGTTCAATTCTCAATCGATAACCTAAAATTAGATAACAGTGAAGATTGTTTCTACATTATGTTCAATAATTTTGTTTTTACCTACCAGTTAATTGAATTTTATTAATTTTTGTATTCCATCGCAAATGAATATCAATGGTATTCGGTCCGGTTTGACTAGACACGTAGGTTATGCCAGGATACTTTGTTTTTAAATCTTAAAATAAGAAACATTATTAATATGTGCAAGAAATGACTAATTTTTCTCACTTGTCATCTTTTGACATGGTGAACGTGTACCATCCAACACCATTATATTTGCACAACTTGGTACATTGAATCGTTGAGATAATCGGTTACCCTCTTTACCAATTTCATTTAATATTGGATAAACATTTAATGCATAGGTACAATTAAATCTTAGATCATATATTTGAAATTGATTTTGTATGGTAGCGGCATCACGGCGATAACAACATGATACATCGTTTGCACAACTTACTTCTAGCCAATATAAATCAAATTGTTGAATTTGTAAAGGATCATTTTGTTTATCATTTATTATCCAAGAAACGTTTGCTTTTAAAAGACCATTGATAAAAAATGCTTCAGATATTTTTAAATCGCTTATAACCACGTATTCACGATGACGTTGATAGCGAAGTGGAGAATCAGATAAGAATGAAATACTTTTTGATGATAAGAGAGTAGTAGTAATAGGTGACACCGTTGGATAACTCATTTGATATGTTATTGTGGCACCAGTGTCAGTCTGTACACCATATGATGTCACAGAACGAATCTGAATAAAAAATTTTTTACAAAGTCAGAATATCAACACTATATTTCTCCCATATATCAGAATAAAAAAGAAATTTTAGAGCTAGTTTAATCCAGTCAATGAGGAATATTTACCTGGCTTAATGTTCTACACTTCTACTAAAGTTTTGAAGACGTCATCTGTCGCCGTTTCGGAGATATCCTTCAATTAGAAGGGAAAATAGACCTGCTCATAGCTGCAAATTTCTCAGTAACATCGTAGGGAACTCGGAACAGTCATAAAATGGTGAACACACGTGACTTAGAGGCTGATGAACCTCGATTTTTGATATTTTACTTCGTTGATTGACGGAAGGCTTGAAAAGTGAAAGGTTTTTAAAAATATTTCATAACATCTCTAGAAAAATACTGTGTCTGACGTCCGTGTTTTTTACATGTTTTAGGGCTACAAATTCTCATAACGTTTGCTTAGAACCCAGAGCTAGTAAACGTCTTATTTTAACCAGAAATATTTTCTTTACATTCTAGATCATTCAAACTATTTTTGGATTTGGGTAATAATGGAATCATTTGTTTTTTTTAAATTGTGTGATTCTTCTATTTCTCCTCTAATGGATTATACGCATTTGAGCTGTCAATTTTATGGCGAACATACGTTTAAGAACGTTAGATTATCAAATTTTTTTACACTCAAAACATAGGTTTTTTTTTATGATAGCCGTTGTCTATTTTTGCTCTATAATACTCTTGATTATTAGACAAAACGTCACATCATAAATATAGAAAAGGTCAAGAAGATCGTTAAACTCAAAGAGGTTATAATCAGGATGAGAGATTTGCGCAGATGTTTTTTTAGTATAGATCATCAATAGTTGAACTTGACTATACAAAAAAAACAGGATAGCACTTGAGATAAATCGGAACAAATTGTACAATGATACATTTTCATAGAGTTGGTTCAAACAATAATGACAACTTAGATGCAGAACAATTCTATTTCCGCTCTTAGATGTACCCCACAGACTTAGTCATCATACTACAACATACATTAAAACGGTAGACGGTTTTGGGATTCAAATATGGCACTGTATATTCGTAGAAGGGTATAGTTGATAACTCCAGATTAATCAATACTCCATCATCTATAGATTGTTCAACATTAGAAACCGATTTCCATGAAATCTAAGTAAAGAAAATCATGTATTGTTATGGACCACTACGATCCCAGATATGAGAACAAACCTTATAACCACTAATGGGTAAATCATTCTGAGATTGTTGCATCCACGTTAGTGTAACGTTGTACGATCCGTCACTGTTCAACACCGGATCTTTTAACGTTAAATTTGTAGGTGACTGACTTTTTGGTTCTTGAAAGAGATAAGACAGTAGATGCATATTTAGTGTCAACACTTTTTTCTTAAGAACACTTTACCAGCGGTCAATCGAAACGGTGTTGTGCGTTGTGAGAATGCTGAATAACCATGACGTGTAACAGCAGCAATGCGAAAACTATACCATCGACCACGTTGAATATTTCTTATTATGGCTTTATTATGAGATACTTCCTAAAAAATAAAAGCAATCATTTTTTTATATGTAAGTATAACACTCAAAATTCATTTACTTCTTTTACAAATCCCCATTTTGATACTTCAGTTGAAAATGGTTGTTTTATACTCAAACTCCATTGTGCTTCAATAACATAGAAAATGGGCTCTGTTTCATTATGGACATGATACCATTTCAGTCTGACAGTTTTACGACTTTTTCTCTCGACTGCTGTGACATTACTTGGCATAAATTGACCTATACGAAAGAACAAAAAAATCATTTTTAGCGAGAAGAGATGATGCACATTAAATTAATAGAAACTTATATTAAACCTGTAAAACCTACAATACATCTAAGATTCGCCTCACCAAAAAATTTTTATTTTCTGATTAGTTTTTCTTCAAATGTTTCGTCAAACGATAGTCACTAGTCTTAGTTTAGACTTTTGTTAAACTTTATTTTCCAATGTGTTTTCAAAAAATGCACGTTGAGCTTTTATTGGACTTTAGTGAACTTAACCTATCTAAGCGTACCAGCTAAAAAACGTAAGTCTGTAATGTTTTGTGAAATTCATAGCTCTTCAGCCGAGCAGCTTACAGAGTTGTGAAACGTCGAATTTCGCTCTTAAACATGCTTCTTTCAAATGATAATTAAGCAAAGTTTAGCTCTAATCTAAGCACTTGCCTATAATCCGGGCCGATAAGGCTCTTTTTCAGGAAAGTGGAGTATATCAAAAACATGATGTCATTTAAACTAGTCAGCTGCTAGACTTTGCTTAATTACCATTTGAAAGAAAAATCTTTAAGCTACAAAATAAGACGTTGTACGTTGCTCGGCTAACGAACTACGAATTTCATAAAACGTTACGCATTTCTGTAAAAAGTTGACTTTTACATAGACAAGTCCTTATATCGACTTTGATGTTTTTTGATGATTCTATGGATAAGCCTTTTTCAGACTTAAGAAGTTGATGAAAATTCACGTCAGTTCACTTAAGTTCAACAAAAACTATACAAGTTCAGTAAAATAGAAAAGTGCACTTTTCCCCCCTTGGTTCCAGTACATACGCTGATTTTCAGTATTTGTGTCTCTCTCTCTCTGCTTCTTTTCTATGGTAGACATAGATAAAAAATCAAACAACCTAACTGTGATTATCCAGCGATTAACTAACCATCATCTGTACGCGAAATTGATAACCTGTTGCGTGAGGTTAAAAAGCGAGAGATTTTTCTATTAAAATGCCAGACAACAAAGCTGATTTTGTTAATACAATTAAAAATCAAAAACAACATTTACATTTCTCTATCAAGCATTATCACTTGCCCTCGTTTAATTTGATGCTGTTGTTCGTTATTTCATTCATGAGACATACGTCATGACATTGATTATCTATGTCACAACAACGACGAATTTTTAAACAATCATGATCATTACACATACTGTGGCAATCGTCATCTAAAAGAAATAAATCAATAGTTCTTCTCATCATCCCAAAGAAATATAGTCTAGTCTTTGTCTGATTTCCTATGTGTGAAAAACAATTGATTTACATTTCATTTCACACTAGTCGAACATGACATATGGCCTTGAGAGAATAAATATACGGCTAATAATCGGTCACACAATGATTAGAGAAGAAAATTCAATTAGACAATTAGTACATTGTTATTAGAAAATAATTCTAATGATAGAAGATGAGTCTTGTTAACATATAAAATATGGAATCACGAGAGAATAACGGACAGGCACAACTATTAGTCATATATATTTGATCATCACCTGTTGTACAATCAAAATTTTGCTTTTGTTGTTGATAAACATATTGTATAAATGAACAACTTTGTATACAATCAATATTTTGCTAAAATACAAAAAATGTAGGTTAAGTCATGACGATGATCTAGTGAGTATTGTTTCGAGCAATTAATACTCTTGATCTGAGTGAATTTAATTCAGTATTATTTCTTTAGAATCCATTCGTTAATTTACGTTCAGAAAAAAAAATTTAAAATTTTTATATGAATCGTCATGTACATGAGTTTTTCATTTCTACATTTATCATTGTACCAGTAATAAATAGAAAAATATAGCTTGATCTTTAACATTCATCTTCATCACTCACTAAAGTATATATTTATTTATTTTCCATTATTTTAAGATAGTAGTAGTAACAATAATGATATTGCTATTAATAATATCATCTCATCGTTCAACTGCTCTATTTCAATCATTTAGATCTACCGACTGCATGGCAATTAAACATACACATCTATATTGAACAGATTGCTTGTACAACTGTTCACTATGAACATTATTCTCCTCTTTTCTATATTCTTTTTTTATAGACATTGACAAATCTTTCGTATATAATTGGTACCTTCAATATAAATAGTATCCACTTACCGAGCATATTGCTTTGCAACTGTCTGCATTTTGTAGTAGCGGTGGATCGAGATCACATGGTGTTAGACACTAGAAAACAGAAAGTAAAGTAATAGCGGAGTTAAAGATGTCCTTTTCAAAAATTGGTTTAGCAATTTTCACTCCACATCTATTTTATTTCCTTTCATTCAATTTGATTTTCAGTCATGTTTAACTCCTATAGTTATTTGTACAATGAACAATTCAACATATACATAAAATAGCAACTATGTAATTTACGTCTGCCAACAGACTGTCAATAACATATTATTGAACTTGAATAATAAACATACGAATATAAAGAACAGTTTAACATATTTTTGTACAAAAGAATGAGAGTGATGCTTAAATACAATGTTTTTTTAGTTTTATTATAGAGTACTATCTTTATTCATGTAAAGTATACTATATAAAAACATTGTCTACAAAACAAACAATAATTATCGGTTATACACATTAAACAATATAGATTCAAATCAATATTGAATTGTATTTTCGTTGCTACTGAATCAAGGAAAAACTTTAGCCTATTGTATTGACATCAGAACATCAACTGAATAGTTTAGATTTGTCATTTTTTGAAGGCACTGTTATCAGTTTCAACCAGAAGTCATATTTTCCCTTAACATTATTCTCAACATTGTTTCCTTGCCTTTTTTAGGCTAATTAATGATTTTAACCTTACCCAAACGATATAACCTTGTAAGTTATCTATTCAATAATAGTGATTACGTCCTTATTTTCTCTCGTTGGTATGTATGTACTAAATCATTCATAATTTGTTTGGATTTATCTTATTATTGAGAACACGTGCGTAAGTTTACACAAGAAGACATAGAAAAAAAAAACATTGACATTTGCACGCTATGTTTGTCGATGGACATTCCTAGAAGTGCAAAAGAGTTAGTTTAAATCGGTAATTTCTTTTCTTTCTTAATTTTTAGAATTGTACTTATTATTCTTATGATAATTTAATTATGACCATATTTCTATTTTTATTTACGTTCGAAGCACACAAGGATCATTAGAAAAAAGTGAATATTGAAAAATAATTTTTGCATTTCGTTTCATTCAAAAAAAAATTTATTCATCTGCACAAATAAAAATTGTACAAACGACAAAACAAAACTTGTTATTCGATGCTATTAAAAAGTGTGCATATTATTATAGGTGTCTATCCACGGCTCATTGAAAACGGACATGAAAAACATTAGTACAACTAAGCGAAAAATGTGTTAACAATTATCGTTTTTCGTCTCGTAATAGACGGTAGTGAAATAGCTAGAACCAAAACGAAATTTCTTTTTTGATATTATAGATTGACTTTTGTATGTATAATACTTGTCTAAAATATTTTGTTTATCAAATCAAAATGAGCAATCAATCAATTTCACTTAAGAGGGAACCGCCCGAGGTGATATGCTTCGTTTCTAACGAGTTATACCTCAATCGAGAGAGTATATCGAGTTAGTAAAAATCCTAAAAGGATTCGAGTTCATGGCTTTTGAAGATCCGATTTTCTGGAAAACCAGTTTTTCAGAAACTGAAAATAATTAAAATCTTTCTTAGTAAGGCATGATTATAGCGCGCACATTTTTGATTAAAATGAGACATCTTCCAGCTCTACACGACCTTTCTTTGCAAAGTTATAGAATTTACAAGAAAAGCCCTTTCTTATTTCTGTAGCTTTGAGCTGACAATGAACATTTAGGGCTTTTTTTGTAAATTCTATAATTCTGCAAAGAAAGGTCGTGTAGAGCTGGGAAGATGTCTCATTTTAATCAGAAATGTGCGCACTACAATCATGCTCTACTAAGAAAGATTTTAGTTATTTTTTAGAGTTTCTGAAAATCTGGTTTTCCAGAAAATCGGATCTTCAAAAGCCATGAATCGGAATTCTTTTAGGATTTTTACTAGCTCGATATACTCTCTCGATTGAGGTACAACTCGTTAGAAACGGAGTGTATCATCTCGGGTAATTCCTTCGTTAGTTCTAGATGGTAGATCGAATTTGCTTCGATACTGGATAGTAAGAGAAATTTTAAGGGGTAAAATATTATTTCATTCTGTTTGTCAAACAATCAATAATAATCTGCTTTCATTCATTTTCAAATGACTACTTTAGCCTCATGTATTTTCCTTCTGACAATATATTTATTATATTATCGTATCATTTTATCTCTAATGTTCATTATTGATAATAAATTGTACACTTTTTTAACCTCAAGTAAAAGGCAATTAATGTCAGATAGAAAACGAGAGTTCATACTCATTTGTCTTTCTCTATATGTGAATGAAATGATATTGAATCCTACGATTATCTAAGTGTTACATTGTCATCAATCAACAAATTTAGCCTTCAGAAGTGTTTGGACTAAAACTAATAAAGATGTGACAGAAGTAATTTGTACACGAGAAAAATAAATAGTTGACATAACAGATCAAGACTTAATTATAAGAATTAAGAGTTATTTATCATATTATACTGACAAGACAGCTCAAATTAAAAATAATGTACGGCGTGTTTAATTTGGTAATTTTCAGATATCTTAGCTGAAAGATATCATAGCCGAGTGCATTCTAAAATATTTCTTAGAATCATACCGCACCGTTAGCAAACCGAACTCAAAGACAATTGATCTAGACGTTAGTATGTCTGACAGATGGCAACCAGAACAGAGTTAGTTAATTAATATTTTTAGTTTAATCTATAAATCTATCATCCTTTATTCTATTTCATTTGCTTAACTAAGTTTATAAAAAGATTATACTACAACGTATATGTTCACAAATACTAAAAGTCAATCGACCATATAAAATCGTGTTCAACTTCAATAAAACACATTAAAAAAACAAAATAAAATTGTAATAATTGTCGAATAAAATTTAAGGAATTTATCAAGAGTCATACACACAAAAGAAATCGTACTTACTGCACTACAAACGGTATTTGTTGGACATTTTTCCCAAATAGTTCGCCATCGTGGTTTAATAAAAGCATTTGATCCCTAAAATAAAGACAGAAACTTAACGAACGATAAAGATAACTGTGCGTGGAGTCAAATTCATTCTTTAACTAATGATTGTACAAAGTTAAAAAAAGTGGCATGATTATAACTCTAACATTTATTTTTCATCACTGTCATGCTGATAGTCGCAGAGTTCTGATCTTGTACAATTTTTCCTAAAACACGTTGAACAACTTCTGACAATCTATTTTACTGGGACAACTAGTCAAGATAAATACAAGAAGACAGACTTTTCTGTATAAACGAAAATTTACAGATTCTTATAAAATATGAACTATTGAAAAAATGAATATTTAGTTAACTGAATTAAATTTTCATAAATTTCAGAAGATAATATAATCGAGGCTTCCAAATTGAGGCCACTTCTTTAATCCAATTAATAACTGTGAACAAAAAAGTGGTCTCAATTCGAAAAGGGCCAATATAACAACTAAGCTTACTAGATTTGATAAATAATATACTGTTGTTGTATATTTCTTTTTAGTTTGAATGTAGGAGCATGAAGTTTATCTACAAAAAGCTAATTATATTCTATTGAAGTTTTGTAGTTAAAAATGTCATGGAATTTTTGAAAATCTTGTATAATTCATAGTGATTTTCAAGTAATATTATTTGGTTTTCTTGAAAATTAATGTATTTCTTAGATTTCCAAGATAATATCTCTGAAATATAAGAAGTTAGACATCCTTCACGGTCATCACCAATGTTTAATTATTAATTTTACTACAGGGAGAATGAAAGTGAGTGAACTTCTTTTCTTTTTCTTTTTAATAAATTAGCAAAAAAAGCCTACAGCAGAGTGAACAATCAATTCAAAAAAAAAAAAAATCGTACAACAGATGCGATTAATTAATTGCTTCTTTTCATGCTGTTTTATCAACCGTTGCTGTTCGTTGTTTTCTATAGATGAGATTATAACTAGAAGGAGACAAAAGATGTTTTCGTATCCATAATATGAATGACTAGTCACAAAACAATAACCATGAGAGAATTATGACAATCAAATTTACGTGTTAAACAAAAATCGATCTCTATGCTTGTATTGTGATTGAGTAATTAATGTAATTAAACATAAAAAAATGTTCAAAATTTACATAGATTTTTTTAAAAGTATCATTTTTATCTAACCAATAGATATTTTATCGATTATATCAGTTCAGCATCTCTCATCTCATTGTTATGTTACTCACTGGTTTTGAAGTGGAACATTTATAATGGAGAAATAAAGTTTCCCATCAAATGTTTGAGATTTTTGTACGATGTATTTGTCGTATTCTCAAAAACAGACCAAAAAAAAAGACTTTATTGCATACTATATAGCATAGTCTCTCAATGCATCTTATTAATGGCAAGCAGCTGATACACATACACATACATCTATATCCGATATTCATGTCATATATACATAGCATGACAAATGATCTTTCATCTCATTTACACTTAATCATAATGGTACCGCTAGAACATAATGAACATATTGTAGATCTATAACCATATAAATAGGCTATGAATATCATTTTTCTATGTATATAGAGAAAAATTCAAAATTATTGACATGATCGGCTAGACTTTATATTTGTTTAATTTCTTGGTGTTAACAAAAGACATACACACGTTGAACTTGTAAGGATATACATACCATGTTATCTCTTTTTTTGCCATTGTTCATAAAAAGATAAAGGTTTTTTCAAAACTATGAACAATGAAAATATATCGAAATACCATCCATCATTTAATAGATTTTTAAGGTGTCTCTCTATTTCTTTCTACAAACACGAGATATCTCCGTACACAAAAAAAAGAATTGAATGGTAAACATGTAATATCATGTTTTCGTTTTCAATTAATATGCCACAATTTATTTTTATTAACGACTTTTAATATGTTGGTCTACATGAGATTTCAGTCTCTAGTTTTTCATTCATAGCGAAAAAATAAACTTTATGTCTTTTTAAAGACATCAACACACATTTAAAGACACCGAATAATGATTAAAATCATATTGAAATTTCTTGAAAATTCACAAAGTTTACATAAAAATGGTTATAGTAGTTCAAAAAAGAGATCAAATATTTTATTGATAGACTTGTTTAGTAATCTAAATAGACAGCATCACCCTCTCTAATTATGTTGACATACTCTATAAAAAATAAAAATATACCTTAAACTTCTTTATTAAGTTTCTATATTTCGATGAAAAACGATGAAATCGCATTTAAAAAACGCTAGAAAGGTTTTTTACAGAGTCATAGATGAAATCTTTGGAACGACTTTTACATCCAAAGCTATTTATAAGAAAGAAATTCTAGACTCGCATTCCGTATCTTAGAACTTTTGAGAGCTGAATGGATCGGAATGTGAGATAAAAATACTATGAGAAACTCCGAAATATGGAACTGATTCATCAAACTAAAGAACAGCCTATAGAGAAGAAGACTTTATCTTCACTTACAGAGAATGAGGCGTCTAGGTAATATGACCACACAAGTCGATTGCACAATAGTTAGATTGATGCATCTATGATCTTTCGCCCTATATTAAGACGAATCAACACGACTATGTTGAAATCGACTTAGACCGTCTTATTTAAAGATGGACAAATTTATCCCTCTTATCTTAACGTGAACTATTTTACATCTTCTTTTCATTATTAGCAGTTGAAGAGTAGTCCTGTTGAAGAATCATGAGAATGTCTCAAGTACAGATTATATCAATCGTTTTAGTAAGAGATCAAAATAAATTGACAGGTTTCTCCGAAAAGTTCATTGTTCTTTATATACAAGTGTCAAAAGTAAAACAAAAGAGATGAATGACACTTCTATCAATTACACGCGACTACTAAGAGTGCTATGCCATGAAGTAACTAAAATTAGGATTCTATTATAATATGTAACTTTGGATATACCATTGTTTGTTTTAGAGAATAAAGCACCTTTCAGAGAGGTTTCATCTAAGAAAGAATCCTGAAGTTAACTTTTACTCGCAGTCAGTTTTCTGTCAGTAACGGTTTCATTCTTGTCTAATTTCGATAAACAAATATTGTTTTTTTTTCTAACACAATGAAAAACTCTTTGTAGTACTCTAATAATTCTTAGAATATGCGGAATACATGAATTAAAAGTGAGAGTAGTTTTTATGACAGAAAAAAACAAAAATAAAATTATAAGAACGTAGATGAAAACACATCACTAAATACTTTCAATCTACTCAATCAAATCTTTAGTGTATCTGTTGACATTTAGTCATTTCTTATTAATCGATAAACATTAAAAAAATTCGAAAATTACCTCTGTTGAAATCGAATTTTATAGTCCTACTTTCATTTACATTTTAACAAATGTACATTTTCATTTGAAAATATTTTTAGACACATTATCTACGATGGAATGAAGCGAGTACATTTATATTAGAAATAATAGATGAATATGTAGCGTAAAATATAGGTACACAAATATCTAACTAATGTCATTCTAGATCATAAAAGAGTGATGAGTGATGAGAGTAAATTTACGATTTTACAGTCTAGAAAAAAGGTGTTTTTCAGTTTTCCAAAGAACTGAAAAATCAATGAGAATTTTGTTTTTCATTTGTCTCAAATAGAGAACTCAAATTTGTTCTTCGATTTTTGAAAAATTGATTTTTTGTCCTTTGGGGCTTTCTTGAGAGCTGACAAACAGAATTTGAGTTCTCTATTTGAGACAAATGAAAAACAAAATTCCCATTGATTTTTCAGTTCTTTGAAAAAACTGAAGAACATGTTTTTTTATAGTGTATATTGACAATTTTTCTAGTCTCTGTTTTTATTAAAAACCTATCACATCAATTTTGATCATTTCTCTACATAAGATAAATTCATGTACCATTTGTATTTCATACAATTTACGGGAATTAACAGGCTTTTTATTCTCTTCTAAAGCATATAATTATCTGACTGGCATTATCTTTGAATGGTTTATGTTTTTTTGTCTTCGCTCATATTTCGCTCTCATTATTGTATGTTCAAAAGGAAATCTTTTTTTCCATGAACAAAAGAGCAGGTGAATAAATTATTGTTCATTTCTTTTCACTCTCTCTCCCTCCATCTCTTTGATATCTATATACACACTTACACACTTATATCTTTTCTTTCTTTCTTCTCAAAGAAAAATTGAGAAGTTCAACTAATTCAAATGGATGTTGACACGTTAGAGAAAATGATGGATAACAAATTGAAATGAGTGTTTTTTAGAGTTTCTTACTTAATTGATCTAAGGTTCAACAACACCAACATAAAGGCCACTGAATACTGCGAACAAACTTATGCAAATGATCCCAGAAGATCTGTTTGGATAAGACGTGTCTGAATGAGAAGTATATTCGGAAGTGGAAAATCGGATCGAACACCGTTTTTCTGTTTGTAATCTAAATTCTGTGATGTAGCAGTAACTAATTATGTGTGTGTGAAGAAAGATTAGTTTTATTTATGAGACTTTTCGTTAAATAAGTTGATCACAAATGATTCGCTATTTCATGTAAGCGACAATTTCCAAACTCATTTATTTTTGTAAAAGATGGACAAGATCTTTTTAGAGATGATTACTGCACTGTGTGCCTATGTTAATATGATTTCTTTAGTACGGTCAGTGTACTTACCACTTGTTGTTGAATATCATGTTGTCGTTTGGATTTTTTACCACGTTTTACGAAAAAGTTTTTTTCAATTTTTTGATAATTAGTCGATGTAGGATTCGTCGATAATATCCATCGATACTCAAAGATACATCGTGCTTTACCTGGAATCAAATAGGTTGTCTCCATACATGAAAATATCAAAGAAGATCATAATACGTACATTGTGCACTGATTAATGCATTATAATCATTTAATGCATAGAATTTTCTTATATAAATTAGTAGTATTAAGAGAAATTCATAAATATATATCTTCTTCATCAGTAATCATTACACACTTCGAAAAAAATGATTTATAGACAATCAATTGTTGTATAAAATAGTTTATAAGTCCATCAGTTGAGTTGATTGAAGATGAACTACTAAAATATTTGCTTGTTTTCGATAATATGCGTTAAATATAGAAATATAATTTTATGTCTACAAATAATATACTATGATAAAAATGTAAACAAGGTAAACGATCAAAAAAAAAAGTGTAAATGTGTTGAACAGCAATAAAAATGTCAATAGTTTCATTCGATCTTCTATTGATGGAGTACAGAGTACTTCTATTACTAATCATTTAAAGATCTATCATGCGACAATTTTTAGAAAGTTTTTTAAACGATATTCTTTCCTTAATGAATACTAATTAATCTATAAAATGTTGTTTTCTTTTTATCTACTTACACTGCCGTGAGTCAAAGCGTGATAATCACTTTATTTGTAATCTGATGTTATATTGAAAGATATTCGTGATTTTTACACTGTGCTCCATGGTCAAGTCGATGATTTAATATTGTAGTGTCATTATATTTTAGCGAAAAAACATTTCAAATCGTTTAAATATAGAATGACTGACTGACTGACTGACTAACTACTTTCCTATACAGTTCCTTCTTCCATTAATAAGTATTTTGATTAACGTGCTTTTATATGTATGATATGGTATGGTGCTTGAAACTCTCTCTTTCTCCAAATGTATAAAAATGTGAACTACACAACCAAGAAGTTTTTTTTTCTCACTTTCGCTCAATCATGCAAATGATTTTGTACATTTCTCTCTCTCTCTCTCTCTGTCTCTCTATCTATCTCTCTTCTGATTTTTTTCTTTCTTCTTGTAATGTCCAAGTACTCATGTTTTTTCTTCTTTTCTTGAACATTTGATGGCTCGTTGTAGTATATGTATGTGTAGTAAAATAATTTTTTTTTAAGCAGGAAAATGACAAATATTCTTATCCGAAGGATTAAATATTTTGTCAAAAAGAAAAAACTGATTTCAATGCCACCGAATGAAGAGTTATTAGCATTCCAAATTCGATTAAAATTATATTTAGCCTTTAAAATTAGCACATAATAGAGAGAACGGTTAATCTATAGTATGTTTACATACAAGTAAAACAAGTGGTTGGTTCCTTTTCTTTCTACATCTCGGTGATTTGTTGTCTTTCTAAACTTTGTTTTTATGACGTCAGACTAGTCCATTGAACCGATATTCATTGTCAATCTTTTATCTTGTTGAATATGGTGAGCTGTCAACATTTGACAGAGAGAGAACTATCACAACGTTTATCAAACGCAGTTCAAACTCTAATTATTTTCAATTGAGGGATGAAGGATAGAAATAATATTTTCTACGAAGAAGTTAGGTACAATGATGCAAAAAGTGACTACTGACGAAGTGCAAATCTATCGTCTAATTTAACAAGTTTGTAGAAGAATATGAATCGTGTTATATACAGGAAAGAATTTGAAATATAAATGAATATCAAATTTTAACTTGTATTCAACAGATCTTTAGAGAAGAAAATAGATAAATGTTTTGCTCTGTTTTTATCTAGATGAAAGATTATTCTATATAGGAAGTATGTTCAATTGAAATGATCATTTGTAAAATGTTTTCAAGTTTATATAGCAGTAATAATAATAATAATACTAATGGCGTGAAAAATACAAGTGGAATAACCTTTTTCTTTTCAAATAAGCAACATTTTTCATCTCACATTTTTATGACAAGCTTGTTTTAAAATTCAAGTAGTCGGAAATATCTGAATAAATTGTATAGAGAAGTTCACAACTCTACTTGAATATAATAAAGGAAAACTTGAAAATTTCATCCTTGTTGTTGTTTGAACAAATATATGGGAGTGTTTTATTCAAAATATCGTTGCCTTCGATTTTTCTTATTTACAAAATTTGTTTTTCAGATGTCTTTAGAACAGAAAACAATTATACCAAATCATACAGGAGTGTGCAAAAACACTTCTCCCACATATCGAATTAAATAAGACTGATACATGATGATTCTTCTCTCGCTTCACTACTCACAAAGCTCGTTTTTCAGATGTCTTTAGAACAGAGAATAATTATGTTTTGCGTTTGCATGTTAATAATCAGGACTGGAGTGTTTCCAAATGTTTTCTGTTACAATTATACTCAAGCGAAAGAATTGATTAGAAATAGTAAAATCGAGCTGTACATATGTGTACAGAATAACAAGCGTACGTATGTGTATGTGAATTTCAACTGGTTTTGTCAACTAAGAAAAATTTCACATTCTTATTTTCATTCTGTACTGTGTGACATAATGTTCGTTCATCTACTTAGACTCTCTCCGTAAAGTGGTTCATACTTCTACTTCCTCTTTAAAGAGTCCTGTCCATATATTTCTCTCACCTTTTAAAAGAAAATCGGGCACGACAGTCATCGACATTAGCATTTTTTATTCTATAAATGACAGATACAGATGATGACTATTCAAATCTAATTTGTTCTGTTCGTAAAAGAATTATTATTAAACAAAATAAAAAAAGAAAGAACGTCACGCAAACAAAAAAAGCAATCTATTAGTATTAGATATTAATATATAATAGAAGGAAGAGCAACTTAAGTAACATTCGGCGAACAACTTTGAATATCGTGATCGATTCCAAAACGGAAATGGTATAATTCTTCATCATAGACATCAGTATCTGATGTCAACGTTTTACATAGACGATAAAAAGTTACATCTTTGAAGTATAATAATATAAGATAAAAAGAAAGAAACGCACGCTTATAGTCGTACAGTTGTCAAATACTGAAACCAAATTAATTTATTCAATGAGATTGTGTGCTCAAGTGCACTTTGCTGTCATAGCGAATCCATTGTAAAATATCAACTAACATAGGTGATATTATCGATAAAAGAACAGAAAATGTGATTGCATCAGAAATTAGTTCGTCTGTGACAACGAGATTTGGCGTTCGGTTTACCATACAGTGCTCAGAACAGCAAACAGCTTCCTTATGTGTGAGACAGAACGAGGAATGTAGCTGTTTCAAAGTCTCATATCTAGCCGCACAAGTATAAAATCTTTGGACTACTACTAGAACCCTGCAGGTTATAACTTTTTCATAACCTATAACCTACCCTGTAAAAACTTTAATAACCTATAACCTTTCATAACCTTACACATCGTAACCTGTAACTTGCCCTAACCTGCAATATTTTTTACGTAATCGTCTCTGTCCTGTCCTACGAAAAAATTACTGCAGAAAATGAGTACCCAAGTTCGAGAATTTTTCCTAATAATGTAAATTCTTTTCATTTACTTTATTTATGCAGCAAAAAACAACAAACTGTCTTCGTGTTTCCAATACCCTTCCCGATGCACTAAATATTTTTTTTGACTAATAAAAACTTTTTCGAGTTCTTATTTCTTTGCCAACTTTACAGGTGGCACTTAATATTTTTTTACAGGTTGAAAACAGGATACGAATAGTGTAACCTGTACTGTAAAATTTTTGTAATCTATAACCTATCCTACACCGTGAAGTCGTAACCTAAGCCTGTCCTAACCTGCCAGACAGGACAGGTTATGTATGACCTACAGGGCTCTAACTACTACCCATATGTAGTAAAAATCATTGATTAATGGTCAAAAATGAAAAAACTATGGGAGGTACAGCATGAAGATTTACACTGCCAAAAGAAAGTGTCTTGCTAAATCACGCGACTGACTTCAAAATACATGCACAGTGCTTTTTGAAGGCACGTTAAGTGCATTTTCTCATCTTTTTATTGTTAGTCGCTTTAATGTCTTCAAAATACAACTCTGAGTTGCTGCTCTTTTTGAAAAAATAGCTTAGGTGTATTTGGTAGACATCACTAATACATCTGAAGCGCACAATGCACTAGCTACGATCAAAACACCTAGTGGCCCATCAACCACGGATAAAATACGTAATCACCTTCAAGACAACGGAAATGCATGCACTGCATTGCCTCTTTGGCCACTATAGTGTCTATAATACTTTTGAACAAACGATTTCTAATCTGTTGCTTGTTTATTTAATTATGTTAGATTTGTTCAAATCACATAGATGATTAATCAAAGAACTTGGTCCGAAATCATTAGATTTCGCTCACTCCAAAAATATTATAAAATGAAAGCACCTCCTATTTTTATCAAACCAGCAAAAAACCGCGAACCGGCACATAATGCTCGGTTAACCGTGCCTAATTGATGGTTTTTTTGCTGAGCAAACGATATGAGTACAATCCTCTTCTGAAATTTTTCTCTTCTGAGTTTTTCTGAGTTTTTCATTTTTCTTTTAAGCGTGTGTTCATGTCTTCCATGCAGTAAAACTGTCGGTTAGTCAAAGTCCATACCGGTGAAGTTCTGGGCTGAGCAGTACCTGTCTGCTTACCAGGAATCTTAGCTGCAGTCCGAAAGATATTTAGACTAAGTCGAAGTTCACACTTCAAGGATTCATGGAAAAAATTCTGAAGTTTTTCGATAATCATGTTGTCCTTATATACATATAGTGATTACAAAACAAAGCGGTGATTGAACCCGTCGGTTCTCGAAATAACGCGCTCAATGGGCGATTAATTTTCCAAACCGCGGTATCAAAAAATACTGGTGGTTAACCGCGATTAATCGAAGGTTTGTAGTAAACCACGGTTAATTGGCGGTTATTTGAAGAACCGCGGTTAACCGACGGTTTTCTATAAAAATAGACGATGTGAGTTGTTAGCGAATAACTACTTTGATGTTAGTATGTTGAGATCTTTCCCCTTTTGATGATAAAAAATATATGAAATGTCTGATCTTACAGTACTCTCAATTGATGTATTTACATAAGCTTGTGGCAACCTCCTGGTGTTAGTAACGGTGCCGTCTACTTACGCGGTCAAAATTCTCATCCCTTCTTTCCCATTCTGTGGTTTACCAACCTCTCCTATTCTAAGATTCGACAATGTCACATGATATCCAAGAGACACATTGGCTTGCTCGCATTTTTATTTTCACGAATAGTATCGGAATACACATAGGCATAACAAATAGTAAAATAGAAGAAACAAAAGCAATCCATAAAGAAAAACGTTGCTCTCTACGTGCAATAGTACAGCACATCTTTGTCGCTCGGTTGTCGTGTAAAATATTCTTTGTAGATCAAAATATTGATACATTTCTACAAATACAAACATTTTTCTTCAAGAGACTAAACTTTACCTTGATCACAGGAACCTGAGGCTTGAAACGAGATTTCAATTGTTCAATCACTTCTTGCACGATTAGCGCATGTTTCAATGTTTGACGTGCTTTCATCGTTCGAACAATAGCTGTCTTTTAAACATACAAAAAATGTAGTTTTAAAAAGAACATGAATCATTCACATCTACCCTAATGACGACTTGTCGATCTTCATTAATTGTCCGATGAATATCGTCATTATCTATTTTTTCGATCAACTTTAGTGGTACATTCAGGCTGATTCGAATCTTCTTACTAAAAAGAAATCCAAAATATCGAGTATAACAGAAAGAGTACTCAGCAATGTACCTAGTAAAATCATTAGTTAGTTGAATAGTATCATCCATTTCGCTATCCGTCGCTTTGAGTTCATCATTGTGCACTTGGTCACAGATCTGCACACATGTCAGTAGTTTGCATTAACCTTAATAGGACTGGTAACAACAATTCAGTCTTGATTTGTGTTTCAGCTTGAATTTGTTCGACTGTCCAATTGCGTGATTTGTTGAAAAGGAGAAGGACAACCGTTGGATAGGCTGAGAGCTGAAGATTATTAAGATACACTAATTTCAAAAGTAAAATTTCTTCATTTTACTCGAGCTTACTTCGGTTGGCAGCATAAAATCGGAACGAGCTGAGAATGGCCATGATCTGAAAGTAAGCACCATCACCGAGCAATCGACTGAAATGAAACAAGAAATGGAATAGTACTTGCTAAAGTAATCAGCACAGTTCATCCCTGTGCTAGTAAGTTGTCGATGTTGGTAGTAAATTCGATATGCTTCTGTCAAATCCTTGCTCACTGCAACATCTTGAATCACCTGCTACAATTTCAGTGTGTACTCGAACTTGCCTGCATGCTGAGAAAATAAAAAATATGTATAGAAAGAAAGAGAAAGATGAAGAATTACTTTAATATTTGAAATCACTAACGTATCAAGATCGTTCGATGCTCTCTGCTAGATGAGCCGTTTCGTTAACATTTTGCCATAAAACCTTGCGAATACATCTTTGTGCTCAATATAGTTAAAAACGATCTATAGAGAAGGAGAAGAGGAAAAACAGCTAATTTGGATGGAAAGTGTCAAAATAAAGATATACTAGGATCTGATTGAGTTTTTCTTCGTGCTCGGCTTCGTTCCAAGCTGTAGTACTAGAATTAGCGAATTACAATTGTCAGTTACATCATTCGAGCAAACTCCACTCACCGTTCTTGAAGAACCTTATCACAAAAGCGAGCCAATGATTCTGCTATTTGCTTCGTATTACTACCAACATGGATGAATATGGTGTCATTGATGAATTTGTGATAGATTTAAAAGGAACAAAAAGGAAGAGTAGAAAGATTCAAGGAAGAAATGCGGCCGGCACTTGCGTTATCGAGAGCAGCAATGAAATCTTGATCAATACTGAAAGCTTTTCCAAATCAAATACTTTTTCAAATCACAACAAGTCAAATACTTGTTGTGAATCTCAGAAATTGTTTGAATGTAGAGATTGGGGTCCTGTTTGAACCATGCATTTAGACCAAAGTTGTATAGAAAGAGTGAGAACTCATGATAGCGACCGTTGTGTTGATACGCGTGATGATCTCGATACCCATTTGATTAATATGATCTTCGACGATTTCCGTCATATTGTTTTTAATATTTGGTAATCATCGAATCAACGAAAACAGACTAGCCAGATCTAGATCATAATAGTACCATAATTAGTTTAGCAAAGACGTTCAATTGGTCTGATGGAACTCAATCTTTCTGTTCAATGCCTTTAAACTATCGAAAAGCTAGTGCCAGCGTATGAAACTATTTCTAGTGCTCACTCGCATAGTTTTCATCATGTAACAAGTGCTTGATTTCGGTCCAAATGCCATCCAGACAATGCAGATCACGAATGAGTATTTCCTCGATCAGATTTATCACCGGTTGTAGTGTCGATATCGGCGGATATAAGTTGACGCGCTGTATGTCTTCGTCGAGACGCTGAGATACCTTTATACGATATTTTCTTCGAAACTTAAAAGCATTTTGCCAAAAGCGCCCTGTGTGATTCCACGTTTCAGATCCCTCGCCGAAACTTTGTCCATCATAGCTCAAATCTTTACCACAGATACTAGATACTGGTACGTCCAGGTGTTTTTCGATGTAGTCTTCAGCATTGTTGCTCATGCCGACGGCGACTGAACTCCACGCTAAAACGGAAAACCTGGTTTTCTCCGAAATTTTCCTTTAAGTCTTCATAGTTACATCTTGAAGACCCAAATCAAATAACATTTGATCATATTGGACTCCAGTATCTATGGTAAAAATCTAGTTTTTCGAACGGACAATGTTTCGACGGTATTGGTACGGTACTCAATGAAAAACCATACGTAAAAACAAGTCCTATTGTCTGAATAAAAAAACTATGCTTATTTTATTCTTTTAGATGTTCTGCTAAAAATTTTTACTGTCTCCGATCAGTCCTTACGATTCTGTAACAAAATTCGAAATGAGAGAGGAGGTATCTTAAATGAGTGTGTGAATGACAAATCAGTATTCTAGAAATTAAAGTTAATTTACTACTATGGAAACGTTTTAAACAATATCACATGATGATGGCATATATTTGTTATACTAAATAATCGAAACATTCACTTTTAGAATATCGTTTCAAAATTTCCTTTAAAAAGTATTTTATTGATATTAAAGAATAAATTATAATTTTATTTAACATTGAAAAGAATTATGGAATACTAATGACTTTGTAGGTAAAATACAAAAATAAATATACAAAAATTTTAGTCATTAAAGGAACAATTTTAATTTTGAAATAAATTAATCTTTTCATAAATTATATATTAAATTTGTTGTTGGTGTTGCGGTTTTATTTATGTCTTTTAGCATAATTTTTGTATTCATATTTATATTATCACTTCGTGATGAATAATAAAACGGATCATTATATTCAAATTGTGATTCTGTAGTTTTTTTACCTACTTTGGTTTTTATTTGAGTTCTAAAACATAAGTAATGTAATGAATTTTGAATATATTTTAAACGTATTGCCACATAAAATTGATGTCGAAAATAGGAAGACGTTAAAACATAGAAATAAAAAGATAATGAATAATTAAGATAATAAATTTTATTTGCTATTAACCATGCAATTGATAACATTTGTTCATATTTTTCATTTAAAATAATTTTTGTTGAATTACGTGTAAAACGATAGATAATTTCGACAACTAATACCGGTGCACTAACAATTAAAAATGTAATTAGATCAGCTAGTAAAACAACAGATAAACGAAAATTACGACTTTCACGTCTATGTTTTCGCTGATGTATAACACGACGTTTTATTTCTCGAACATTTAATATAATAAAGATATTTGCAATAAATATTAAAAAAAACGGACATATTAAACTAAATATAAGATCGATGATAGGTGAAAGATGTTGATAGAAAAATAAATAATGTTCACTTGATGACAGTGGTCCACAAACACTGATACATGGTGATAATTTTGAAAAACCTAGACCAATACCGAATAATAAATGAACATTTAAAAAAATAAGGAAGAAAATTAATAATAGAGTACTTGATACTGCTGATTTAGATGTTTGAAGACAACGACGATTACGAGGAAATTTTGTTAATAGCAAGCGATTACAAGCGACAAATACTAACAACCATGGACTTAATTCATCAAATACTTTTGTTGAAAATGAATGAAAACCACAGAGAAATGATGATTCTAGATGATGAACATGATTAAATTTTTTAAAAAAATATGGACGACTATTGTTGATTAATGCAAGCGTATCGACAATAGCCAAAAGTAATAGATAACAGGCACAAGATAATGAACGTAGTTTACGTTGACTGAAGGTAATCACACTCAATGAATTACCAATTATTCCTAAAAAAAGAGAAGATGGCTAGAAATCATTATGGTAAATAGTCTCCGATTTCAGATTTATAAACACATTTTCACATTTAATTCAAAGAACGGTTGAAAGTATAAACTAAATACAGGTCATTGCGGAAAACTACATATTTAAACAGGCTACTCAGTTTATCTCAGTGATTTAGCATATAATAATAGTTTGAAACTATTGCCCATCCGAAAAAAAGAATGATATATGGATATTTTTTGAATAATTGGAAAATGGAAAGAGCTAGTGGGACGCGGTTTTCACTACTCGGAACTTTAGGAAAAAGTCACTATTTTTCCAAAAATAATCTTTAACTCTTTCCCTAATCATGTAATGAACAAATATGTCTTCTGGTAGGGTTAAAAACAGTGATTCTAATCCACTAGTTCTCATTAAATCTTATTTAGAGGATTTTTTTAATAAGAATTACGTAGATCCTATTTTAAGATAAGGCCTTTCACTACACTGTATGAGAAAAGTGATTAATAGTTGATGACGTCGAACATATATCTGAATTATGGACCATCCAAAAAGAGAATGATACATGAATGTTATTTGAATAACTCGAAAACGGAAAGAGCTAGAGGGACGCAGCTTTCACCAATCGAACGAGGGACTTATGCAGTATCTTTTTGAACGTGAAAAGTTTTTTGGATAGCTTTTCAAAAACCGATTTTTGAACGACTCTTTGAAAAATTTCTGCATACGTTGAAAATTTAAAGTAGCAAACTAGTGGTATTTTTTCATCCGCAGAACGAAGGATCTACGTAATTCTTATTGAAAAATCCCCTGAATAAGGTTTAATGAGAACCAACAGATTAGAATCACTTTTTTAACTCTATAAGAAGACATATTTGTTCATTACATGATTAGGGAAAGAGTTTAAAGATTATTTTTGAAAAAATAGTGACTTTTTCTTATGTGAGATTTTCCCATAAGCGCCTTTTCTAACGTTAAATATACTGAACGAGTAACGTGCACTCAATGCTACTCTGTGTTTAAAAGTCACGAGATAGTAGTTTTATCCTTCAATAAAACTTGTTGGAATTTCTAGAATGTTGTTGTGATATAGAGTAACTTGAGGGTAATTCCGATCAGTGCTTGAAATTTCTTTAGTATTTTTAAGACGATAAAGCTATTTCAGAGCAGATAAAATTGCTGGCAGATAGACATGAGTTTCAGCTATCGATGGATGTTAAAATCTTCTCAAAATTCATTAAAATTAATTAGTTTAATGAGTTTTCGAGCACTATGTCAACGATTGATCGGAATTATCCCAGTGAGACAAGTGTGCTTATCGGAACAACTCATCTACCTCAACTGGGTAATTCCGATCAATTGTTGGGTAATTCCGATTAATTAGTTTAATGAGTTTTCCCTGTGAGACACGTGTGCTGATCGGTAACGCTGTATTAAACGCTGTATGAAATACTCAATTTTAGAACTTCTAGGAAAATGCTGGTAACTTTTTGATGCAAAGTCATACAGAAGAGTTGTGCGAGATCTTATTTTGATCAGAAACGTTTGCTCTACAAATCTGTGTGTTTAGAAAAATTTTAATTGCATAAGTATCCAGGAAAAAAGTATTATTTTAAGACCGGAAAAGTATTATTGAAGAAAAATCGGCGCCGGTCAGACGATGTAGTTAGGTGTCTAGCTTAAAACAAAACAAACCCGAACTCTCCAGCTTGAAGTATATTAAAAAATCTTGGGAAACACTTCAGGGTCCTTTTTGGACCTTGATCTCTAGAAAACTCCTGAACGGTAAGACTTGGAGACAAAAAAAATTTTTCATTCCCGTAATTCATTATGCCAAACATTTATGGAAAGTTTCGTCAAGATCGGATGTACGGCGTCGGAGATAATTTCTGAGGGGGAGGGGATCCTTAATCAGTAAAAAGTAAATTCTCAATAGAAAAAAAATGGAAATTTTTTAATGAAGAAAATAACTAAAACAAATATCAACCAATGGAAAGTAGATAATATTCATTAGTTGCAGCACAGAATAAATATACATACCCAATACAACAAGAAATGGTACAACAACATTCACTTTTTCTTCTATTTCCTCAATTAGTGTAATGCTTGTTTGATTTTGGCAAATATTTACGCCACTTTGAGCTGGTAGTGATAAATCAACGGGGCTATCTAAATAAGCACCAAAAACAAAATGTAATGAACGAAAAAGCCGAACCGAGTGTCCTATTAAATGTGCTATATTCAGTTGCATTTTTTTTGATAAATTTCAAAATAATAATCACACAACATGTTATATCTACTCCTTTTAGATAATCTAGTATGGACCTTCTCGTATGATGAATAGTAAAGAACTGAGTGTATATCAACTCTATTAACAGTACATTTTGGTTGTTGAAAAAGATACCTGCCCTAAGCATACTTTTTTCTTAAGCCGCATCCAATGGTGCAAAAGACACAACAAGACTTGTACAACATATGATTTAGCCTCATAATACAACATCTTATACTTAATTGCTTTGAGATGATGTGTTTACGTTTACTAGAAATTTAATGTCCATTTTAAGTGTCTCCTTCGAAATTGTTTAAGAAAAGAGAGGTCGGTTTGACTAACTTTAGATAAGTTAACAAAGTATTGTGTTGATTTCGAGTCTGTTATTTGCTGCTGAATGATATTATTGTCTTTATTGTTTATCGTAAATACAACTGTTAGTTTGTAATAACATTTTAAAATTTTACTTATAAACTAACCCATTTTCACTGCAAAACGACAAGATTTACTGAAAACGTTTTCCAAAAAATTTTTCGGAAGTCAGTGGAAGATGAAAGCCGAAAGAGACAGGCTCAAGTTAACTACGATGAAAACCTAAAAATTATTGTTTTTTGACTTCACATAAAAGAGTCCAAAAGGTAGAAATCATACGATTTAAAGCCATAAAATTTTTGAAAGAGGACACTTTGTGTTAGTTATTTATGGAAAATATTAATATCGATTTATTCAATAAAATTTACCTTTTTGAAGGATTCTTCTTAAATTCAGAGTATAAATGTCTCTTCACTGTTTCTTTATCGGTACGTTAGCCAAATCAACTAGTAAATCAATCTTTAGTATACGTATATTTTATTCTTTTAGAAAAGTGTTTGCTAACAGCTGCTCCGTTTCATGTGAGTTACAACTCCTACTATGTTGAATAATGAAACACTTACTATTCAGTTAAAAAGTACAAAATTTATTCCAATATATTATACATTCGATAAAGTCACCTTTCCAGTTTGAAAATTTCCATTAGTACATGAAAACTTAAAAAACTTTTTTTTAGTACATGGGAATTACTGCTGAAATTGTACTCTCATAAAGATTACAATTCTATACTGAACATGAAAGAAACAGTAACTGATGTATTCGAGTTATCTGAACAATCGTTAATGGAATCATCATGCAGTAGCGCTGATAAGAAAAGTAAACATACCGTTATGTATTGATGAAAAATATATCCGTTGCATATAGACAAGAAATTTGATTAATAAAAAATAACTAAATTGTGACTAGTACTGCTAGAATAATTTTAATCTTATTTAATCACTTTTATGAATTCTTTTTTTTGGATCAGTTTTCACTATTAACAGACGAGAAATATTTGTTTATAAGTATATCTTTTTTGTTATATTTAACATTGCATTTACTCTTATATCTTTCTCATTGTACATTAGAATCTAATACATGTATGAATAGGAGATCGAGAGAAAGAAAAAAAGTCTGCTTTTTAAAGAAGTGAAAAAGAAATCTATTAGAATATAATAAAAAAAGAGAATAGAAGAAGAATAGAATTCTAATTTACGCCCTTCTGTTATAACTATTTCATCGATTCAAAAAGTATGCAATGGATGCTTGACAAACAAGACTTGACAAGTATTTATTTCATTTATATCAGTTAGAGATACCGAAGAATATAAAATAATATTAATCATCTACACATGATCAATTTTATATAGTTCTAACTCCAAGGCCATCAACAGGTTTTTCGAGTCCGAAGTTAGACTTGTTCATCTTTGTAATTATCTCATCATGTATGTCAAATCTATCGAAAAGGCGAATGGATTATTAGACTATATAACATATCTAGTAAAATGTATATACATGATAAAAAATAAGATATAGAACAACAACTTATTCACACCTAATTTGAATCAACTAATAAAAATTATTCATTGTTATAGGAGAAATAAACAAATTTAGATAGAACGGGGCTGAAATATAAAGTTCCTTCAACAAGATATAGGCACTCTAATAATGGAATAAAAATTCGTTATTAACATCACGAATTCTTACGATATAAATTATTAAATTTCATATACACTGACTTTACAATAATAAGTATATTATTATATTTAAAATAGAGACTTGTAACTATATTAGACATGATACCAATTATGTATTATACAAAGTCATAAAGACAAACAAGAAGAACAGAAACACAGAGCTATATAAACGTGATAAATCAAACGAACAATAAAAAAATCATCAAGATCAAAAAGATTGAATAAGTATACTGAGAAATTACTATAGAAAATATTAGATAAATGATAAATCCATCAGGCGTATATAGATATTAGTGAGAACTAATTATCAGCTATAAATGTATGTTCATACACTGAGATAATCGTAATAATCACAATAACATAAACATGAAACTGAATGGAGGATATAACGCCTAAAAAGATCTAATATTTAGATCTATCTAATTATTCATCTTACAAAAAAAAAAAAGTTAGCTTCAACTATTTACTCCCTGTATTATAAACAGTATCAATCAATAGTAAGAACCACTTATTTAAAAGTTTCTCAATAGTGCTACTACTACCGAAACAAATGAATGCAATCAGAGAAAATATAGCTCGCCCCCTTCCTCCTTCAATATGTTAATATGAGGAGTTTTCTTTCGTAAAACCAAATAATGTGAGTTAATTAAAGGCAGTAAGAAGAAATCGTAGTAAATATTATCTTCCTAAAATAGTTAATCAAATACGACTCAAATCATCGTAAACAGCGTATATATATATAATTTACTTAATAATTATAGTTTATTGGTAATTTTAAATTTATCTCTATTTTTTGTTTTTTCACATATTTTAAAAAAGGATATTTGTATAAAAAAGCCGTATTCTACGGATTTATTATTAAAACTAAAAAACATTGAAAATATTTGGTTTAACATTAAACGATGTACACATGCTTTTCTTCGTACATTTGATTAAAAATACTTTTTTTGATTTATTTCAAATATGCAGATTTCAATGTTGAAAATACGTCTAATATTCAAATGATGAGTATATCGGATTATGATTGTATAATGTCTAAATGATTTTTGTTAGAATATTAAATACTTAGCGTGCAAACAACGTGTCTGATGACCTAACCGATGAGTACAAAATGAAAATAGACCCTTAAAGATGAAGATTATATTATTATCAATTTCTATATAAACAGTTTTCATCTATCATTAGATGTATTTCAATAATCAATATTTTTTTTTGTTTACCTTTGATTTCGTCTGCTTTTGAATCGGTGTGCATTTAAATTGGCTTTAAAATAAGAGATAGAAAAAACGAACAGTCTTTAAACAGAATTTTTATTTATAATACAGAGATAATATGCCGAAATTGTACCCATTATGCTATCATACTATTAAACTTAATATTCCTATGCATCATGTATTGCACAATGATCGGATTTATCATTCACTACTCTACTCAATGATTTTTATTCAATCTAGTCATTAGCATAATGAATGAAAGTTTAAGGTTCAAGGATATAGCAAAAAATTCAATCATAAATACATCTTTTTTTAAATGGAGATAGAGTAGACATTTACATCATCCTAAGATGCTTGATACATCGGGTGACTAAAAAAAGAATGTATATTAAACAGACAAGAATAAGTGCAATACTGTTTATCCCCTGCTATAGGGAAATGTGTCACAGAACAAATCGCGTTGCTAATCAAAAATTCAAGTCTATTACATGCAATGTATGAGATATTTTTCTTCTATAATCAAAAACTTTTTTTATTCTTAACTATTGTTTGAAACTCCTTAGTATCAATCTAGGAAATTAAAAAATCCTTATATTCCTATAGTTTAATCTCTATAACAACTTCTATTTATTGTATTAATAAGTTTGCTTTTGAACAACATTTCATTTTGTGGAAATGAAGTGAAACATGTCAAATTAAGTTTGTGAATCAAAAGCAATTCAAGAAGAACATGGATTTTCACAGCTTCTTATTTTCTTAATGCCTCATTAAATAAAACCAATTCTCATTTAAGGAATAAACAAACAAAGCAACAATTCATCTTCTTAATCTAGCTTATTTTCTACAAATTATACTTTTGAAATCAAAAACTTGAATGCGGTTGAAAAGAAATCGTACCTAATAGAACAATTTTTTTCCGGGGAAAGTTTAATTATGGGAGATCATCAAAAAAAATAACAGCAAATATCAAGAAAAATTAAAAGTAAGGACTGAAAGAAAAAAATTAAAATAAGAACAACAAACGAAGAACATAAGTTGTAGAAGGACTCCATTATAAAAATCTGAGGCATTATAAAGATTTTGAAAGCTGGTAGTCTTTGACACTTAAATTACGTCGATTAAAATCGAATTAAGATTTAAGAAATAAACTTATCCTTTTATTTACTAATATATCTAACAAGTGATAAGCAATACTGAAAAAGTATTTGAATTCTATTTCGTCGTTCTTCTTCGACACGGTGCTCGTGTTTTCTCTCTCGCATATGCTGAACACTTGTTCAGAGCTTATACAATGTGTAGGAATGCCACTCATGAAAAAAGGAATCTAAAAGCGCAAAAAGCATTTTTTCACTGTTATAAGGAGATAAATGCAAGATTTTTAGAGGGCCGTAGTAGATCTAATTAAAAAGAAAAAAATCACTTTTCTTTCATACAACCACAGCTCGAACTGGTTGAGAAAAGGTAACCCGATCCAGTCCGGCCGGTTGGAATTATAGCGAAAACCGGCGAAAACCTGGCGAAGGTTTTTGGAAATCGATTTTCAGAAAGAATTTAAGAAAATGAAGTAGTTTGCGAGCACATGTGAGAGAACCTGCACAATAACGAGTCTATAATATTTAACCTTAAAACAAGTGATGAAAATAATATCCGTCTTGAGTATCGTCTTATTTATTCTGACTGAAAAAGACGCGAAATTTTAATTTATTGACGAAAAATAGCGTAAAAAAAGCAGATGGTTCAAAAGTTTCAACCGGTGAAAGACCGGTCTCTACCGACCGGTTGAAAAAGTCAACCGGTCCGGTCCTGTCCGGTACCGGTTCTCGCTCTGAATACAACTGCTGCAGCGAAATTTTCTTTCTTGCTATTCTTAATGCTAAAAACTCAGGATATCAAAAAATTGAAAAATCGAGCGAAATTAAAAATCTTTCAACTTTTCCGCATTTACTGGAAAAGATGACAGCTCTGACAACATACATTCTCAACATCCACAAATGAACAGTCTAAAATATAGTTTCTCGTAGTCCTTCTCAAGCAATTTGTAATTTATTATTCGAAAGAACTTTTATTAAATAAGTTTTTCACAAAGTTTATTTTAAAAGAAACTAGAAACCTTGAACACTATCAGACTAGAATTTGGTTATGTCAAACGAATCTGTCATCCGTTCGGCAGGACATCCAAACATTTTTAGTGGAAGGAAGGAAGAGTACCCCAGTTTTCGACTCCCGTCACCGATGTAGAATGCTAACAGTGTCAGTTTCAAAAGTCTAATATCTTTCCCAGAGGTGACATCGTCACCCATATCCTTATTAGTTATCGAACTACAGCTCTGACCAGAAGGTTAGCCTGATGAAGTGTTCTTTCGGTCAACTGTTTAAGTTTCAATCAACACTCACTACTCATGCGCTAGTCACAAGATCAACCGTGAGGAACTGTATTGTGCATTACACTATAGTAAATGTCTTTTATTCGTACGACGAACTCAACTAAATCTATTATTTTATTTAATAATACATAATATAGAAGCTTTTAACTCAGACGAGAGTGATCATTAGCCACATAACTTGATAAGAGGAAAGACGTGCATATGTTACAGGGAATGTAGAAAATCCCTGTAACATATATATATGTTGCAGTGGAAATCAAAATCTAGGACGATTTAAAATTCCCTTAGGGGAAATCAAAATTTCGAGTTCTCCTGAAAGAATGCCAGTTGAAATCAAAATTTTGACTTCCGTTATAGGGCAATTTTAAATTCCCCTAAAGAGTGTTTGATTGATATTTAGCATACTGATATTGATAGTTTATTTAATTAATAAATAATTTATACATTCAAACATCGACATTTTTTCTTTGGATGGCACTTTGTACAACATAAAACACCTTTAGATTTACATGGACAAGTTTTGGTTGAACACGTTGATTTACAATTACAATCTGAAGTACAAAACAAACTCAAAAGAAAATTACAAAACTGACAAGTATGAAAAATGGCTAGATTTATAATAGCAATTTATACATTCAAATATAACAAACTAATTAATTAATAAGTTCGTTAGAAACAGAACGTTTTACATAGCATAAAAATTTAAGCAATTATTTAATGAATCATATTTAATCAATTAATTTGAAAACAGGAAAACATTTTATCTTGCCTTATAAATATGTCCTATATCATTAACTCATTTTACTGTTCTATCCTTATTTTAAATGGAGACATTTTATCAAAAGTTAGATTCTCATATACAAAATCTCTCTGAGCGATATCGTTCAAAGTACACAATCAAACAAGAAACGTATGATGATATGATAGCAGTTTTGAAATATAGTAAAGGTAATGCACAGTTCAAATTTTGGGTTAAAAAGAATTTTAAATTAGTGAAAATTGGTGACGTTGACGTGGTATATGGTATCAAGAGTAACCATCCTGTTGTTGTGCATGAGCAATTGTATACAAAAATTAAGGAATGTCACGAACGTGTTGGTCATCATGGACGGGACAAAACCTGGAGTGAAGTACGTTTTCAAGGTAATTAAAACTAAACCCATTAAAATGACGACTTTTGATATTTAGATCCAAGAACAATGTTCATACATACCCTATGATGTAGTAACAATATTTCTTAAACAATGTGATGTTTGTAATAGTAGACAAGCTTTTCCAAAGCCAATAGCAGGTACGTACTCTGGCCTAATTAACTTTTTTAACTGCATCTACAATGAACTCTACTTTTGTTTCTTGTTAAGGTAAACCAATAATATCTGTTGAATATTTAACACGTGTACAAATGGATTTAATCGATATGCATAGTGTGCCAGATGGAGAATTCAAATGGATATTACATGTGAAAGATCATTTTACCAAATTTTCGTGGGCATATCCATTACAAACAAAAGAAGCAGCACCAGTTCCTTTAAAACTTTTGGATCAATTTTATAGTTTTGGCCCACCTCGAATTTTACAATTCGATAATGGACAAGAATTCATCGCACAAGTTATTAAGGTAAAAACAGCGCACACGCTAACATACATTTTTGTACTAGCTTGCAAACATGCTTTTTGAAGAATTTAAGAAATACGTGGAAAGATTTAGTCATTATAAATGGTAGACCTCGTCATCCACAAACACAAGGATTAGTCGAACGAGCTAATCATACATTACAATTGTCGCTTGGTAAATGGATGCAATCTAATAATACAACAGAATGGGCAAAAGGTTTGACACTAAGCAAGCTTTGTAATTAAACAAATTTAATATACTATGTCTGTTCTACTTTTTCTTGAACAGGTCTAAAACCAGTTATTTATTCCATTAATACCAAATGCGCACAAACAACTAAAAAATCTCCTTATGAAGTGGTGTTTGGTCAAAAGCCAAGGTCCGATTTCGAAATGTGGAAAATGTTAAGTGATGATGGAATAGAAGATGAAGAACAAATGCCAGCTGATTTTATTCAAATGCTCAATGAACGTAAGCTTTTCGTGTAATCAAAACTATAATTTAGGTTGAACTCGTTGCTCTTTAGAAACTACATCATCTGAACCCGATGGTACTACAAATCAAGATAATGACGAAATTTATGATGGTACAAAGTCACAACATCAGCAATCACCAGTACTTTGTCTTGAAGATATTGAAACAGATAGAAGTATGAAGTTAAAAAACTTGAGTTCATCTTTGGTTTTTCTTATCTGACATATTTTTTTCTTATTTTAGCATCAAAGGATCATGAAGGTATTGATATGGATGTGGCTTTTGATTGTATTGGTGAAACTATGAAACATCAAGCTATTAATAGACATAAACGTGTACGAGAAGGAGCAGAAGATGAGTATTTAAAAGTAGCTAGTAAACGACAACGTATTTATGATGAATCACATAGATTAAAAGAGTACAAAGTAGGAGATATTGTTGGTTTGAAAATAGCTAAAGTTGATCATTTAAGTGTTACACCCACAGTCTTACCATGTAAAGTTATTTCTATTCAATCCACAACAAACGATACTACAGATGGAATTATTATGTATAAACTATGTACTACAGCTGGTGTTATTTCAACAAGGTATACTAACGAAGATTTATTAAATCTGGCAGCATGTAATTTTTCTGATTTACGTTTAATTGATCCAGGCAATTTACCACAATTAACTTTCATACAAGCATGTAAAGAGTATGCAAATTTAGGTACTTCAAGTTGCAATTGTAAATCAACGTGTTCAACCAAAACTTGTCCATGTAAATCTAAAGGTGTTTTATGTTGTACAAAGTGCCATCCAAAGAAAAAATGTCGATGTTTGAATGTATAAATTATTTATTAATTAAATAAACTATCAATATCAGTATGCTAAATATCAATCAAACACTCTTTAGGGGAATTTAAAATTGCCCTATAACGGAAGTCAAAATTTTGATTTCAACTGGCATTCTTTCAGGAGAACTCGAAATTTTGATTTTTCCTAGTGCAACTCAAAATGTTGATTTCCCCTAAGGGAATTTTAAATCGTCCTAGATTTTGATTTCCACTGCAACATATATGTTAAACAGAAAATGAGATGATCATCGCCTGATAATATTGACGAATCACTGAACGAACTTTTAAACACTGGAAGAGGTGAGAGTTACAATAGATATTTATTGCAGTTTGTTTCTCCGCCTGTAACTGATGTTACTCCATTCTTTACATCACTCTCAACTTCGATTGCTCAAAATAGATCTTTGACCACAATTTGATACAATTAAGCCTGTAAATCACGCTAATATTCTTGTTATCAACACCTTTGTACTTTTTCGTAAATAATTTTTGTATTGTAAAATCCTTTTCAAACTTGTGACTTCTGTTGTCTATTGTAATTTTCCTCCTTGCAGTGTTTAAAAGTTTGTTTAGTGATTCGTCAATATTATCAGGCGATGATCATCTCATTTTCTGTTTAATATAGACGTCATTCCTCTCATGAAGTTATGTGGCTAATGATAACTCTAGTCTGAGTTGAAAGCTTCCATATTATATATTATGAAATAAAATAATGGATTTAGTTGAGTTCTTCGTACAAATATTATTCACGTTTCTCAACGTTTTCTCAACAAACGATATTAGTAAATATATTTTCGAGCAAGTGACTCGAGGTACTAACCATATATAACTTGTCGGCGTCGAGCTTCGAACACAAAAATTCTGAAGTGGATGTCGAACAATATAATCATCAGATCATATTGTAAGATAAGTGAATTGTGAATGGATGTTGTGAAACTAGTGTTTAAGGCCTCGTCCCGCCATGTGGATAGAGGCTAATAGAGCCGGATCTTTGATATTTTAGTTTTCAAATTAATGGTCAGCGTCAAAAGTCCAAAATACGAAATAGTCGCATTAACTGGCATAAAGATATTTTTCTAAACAGAAAACTAGGCAGAATATCAAAAATCGGGCTGTTAGCTTCTAGCCTCTAACCACATGTATCAGTTTCAATTTAAGATCTTGGCAAGCTGTCTGCGATGTTTCGTTACAGAGAAATCTTGCAGCTACAAAATGGTGTTACGGTAAAAGTCGCTTTCGAGATATGGTGGCGCCAGTATCTGATGCATGTTTTAGGGCTTCCAGCATTACTCTCATAACTCTTGATTAGAACATCAGAGCTGGGAAATATCTCATTTTGATGAAATGTTTGCTCTATTTCCTGGTGTTATTGAGATCTTCGAGTTGCACGATCTTATTAAAACTTGTATAGATTCTGAGCAGTTCACTGTCCTCTTTCTACGGTAAAAAAATGGAACGACACGGTTACGGACGTGACAGAAAAAGGCCCTAAATTGCGAGTACATCCAATTAAACGCTACATTCCTCCGAAATTACTTGAGCAAATGGAAACTGCCTGGATCGAAGGGTGTCACAACCTTCAACTGCCTGGTTCTCTTATACATTACAATAAAATATGAAGCAAAAGAAAAGATTATAATAAGATGAGAATAAAGTAAATGAGATAGATATGTACAAGTACTAAAGGAATGATCTATGGCAATAAGATCAGTGTGAGTGGGAACAATTAATACAGGAGAAAAATATAAAAATAAAAAATTGCTGTGTGTATGAACTTTGCATAGGGGGGGGGGGGGGGAGATTAAGGGGCAACCACAAAGGGCGGNAATTTAAGATAGCATTATATATAAGAATCAAGTCATCCCTAGGTAGACATCTTACAATAGCAGCTTGAAGCAAAATTTGATCAATTGTAACTGTGTCTGTTTGAAGAGCAGTCATTATGATTTGTAGTAAAGACTGACGCTCAGAATTATACATCTCGCAATCAAAAAAGTAATGATAGATAGCTTCATTTGCTTTATTGCAAATACACAATGGAGACTGAAAAGTTCTCTACAAGATTCTCTACACTATAATACATTGAAATACAAGTGGCGGAATAGGTGAAAAAATTAAGAAAGCCATTTACGAATGGGTAGGATATTAATAGTCGGGCGTAGAAAGTAACTAGTAAATAATTATATTACTATCTGTCAAAAAAGAAACCGAACTCGGCTATTTTTATTTTTCAATAACTTTTGATAGAAAGCACCTAGAGAGCTCTGGTGTTCGGCATTCGAAAGAGGAGACTTGAAGGCATGATTCTATAAGCCAGCATTTTTTTGTTTTCAAAAAAAGATTGAAAAAACTAGTGAAAACCAAGTTTTACGAAAATTAGGATTTCTAGGCTCTTTTCACATAATATTAAAAAATTCACCATTCACTCAAAAAACCGAAGACCGAGTTGAAAACATCAGGATATGCTTCGTTTCGTCCATTAAACGAGATTATATGATCGAAAAAAATAAGAAACCATATTTTGGTTCAAGGGGTTTTTCGGAAACTTTTCCGAAAAACCATGGGGTTTTGTAAATTCTTTTTCGTAGATTTCTTATAAATAAAATATAAAATAGTCTAATGAGCGGACATCGCGAACTGTCACGCTTTTCAGCCAAACCTAGAGGATTATAGGTTATCAACTATGCTGAATCCGAATATTATAGTGATAGCTGCCTAGGGGCCTCCAGACAGCGGTTTTGTGCAAAATCAGTTTTCAGAAACTCTAAAAAGTAAGCAAAAGCTTTCTTAATGAGACATGATTGTACCACACAAATTTCTGATTAAAATGAGACATCTCCCAGCTCTACAAGACCTTTCTTTCCAAAGTTATAGAATTTACAAGAAAAGCCTTAAATTTTCTTCTTATTTCTGTAGCTTTGAGCTGACAATCAACATTTTATAGTTTTACTTGTAAATTCTGTGACTTTGCAAAGAAAGGTCGTGTAGAGCTGGGAGATGTCTCATTTTAATCAGAAATTTGCGGGGTACAATCATGCCTCATTAAGGCCGCCCTCCCCTTCAAAAATCGATCTCAGCCCTGGTCAATACAAATGGGCTGAAATTTGGAGCATATGTTGGGGCTGAAGTGCGAAGGCTGTGGTAAAATTTTCAGCTCGATACCTTGACATTTGACAGAGATATGAGCAAAACA